ACCGTGCGCCGGACGGGCGTGAACCCCTGTGCGGTGCGAATACGGGTTCATGCCCGTCCGGCACACTTCCGGCGAACGGTGCGGCATTCTTCACACAAGTGCTCGACTTTTGCTTTCTTAAAACGGTCTGTATGCGCGAATTTGCCTATATGATTGCAGGATAACTCTATGCGCATACGCGATGTTGAATATTAGTGGAAAGCAAGCGGGTGGGGACTTCACTTCGTGCAGTGCTGCGGGTCAGTACAGATAAGAGATAAGAAGTGTGTTAAAATTGAGCTTTTCAATAACGCCTCCGAGGTTTACCTCGCATACTCAGGCATATTAAGAAAAACAGTAATTGCAAAAAGTAATATATTTCGTCTATGGATGCGCAAAACAAACAAACTTCCTGACCAACAACACTAATGTAAAGGCGCGAGCTCGATGTATGCGTACTAATTGGTTGCTATAGCTTGTTGATTCGTACATAAGCAAGATCCCCGAGCTTCGCAGCGTCGAGATTCCCAGCACTGGCTCGTCCACATACCTCGATTGGAACGCTAAGAGGAGGGCTGAAGTACAAAAATACAACAAGCATGTGTTAAGACAAGCTATACGTCTCAGGCTTGTGCTAAAGCTTCGAGGTCTGGCAATTTAGGTTAGTTTAGAGACCACAAATGACGCTCTCGGGACCAGAAAACGATCACTTGTCGACGTGTCGATCGAAACCGAAACCATTCCTCCCTCCTCCCTGGCCAACTAGTTCCCAGAGTGCAACGCGCGCCGTGTTGCATGCAGGGCTTTATGGAAGTAGTCTATTGGAGCGCAGCTCTTGAGGAGGAGGGAAGGGTACTGAGGGGAGGGTAGACCCCTCATCGTCCTCATTCTCCTCCTCCCCTCATTCTTTAATATGCTCCGGGGGGGTCACCTGACCTCGGGGGGAGGGGGTCACGTGACCTTGGGGAAACGTGGGGGTCACGTAGAGGTCACCTTGAGGGGTCACGTGGCCTTGAGGTGATCTTGGGAGGGGTTACGTGACCTGGGGGGTCGCGACATTGGGGTGACCTTGGTTACGCCGACGGCGACGCCGACGCCGCTCAAGCCGGAAACGGGCGCCTAAGATCTTTTGTGAAGTATCCATGCATAGTTCTCAAAGTTGTGTTTAGTAGTCTCTGGTTTCTCGAAGGTTCCTTAATTTGTAGCGCATGGTTAGGTGTGTACTTCACCTGGTATTGGGCAGATTTAAGGATGTCATACATCGATGGAATAAAATTTTAGCTGCGTTCCGTCCTCTCTTCAGAGTTTAGAATCCTAATGTTGCCCCAAAATTTAGCTATTTCCTAGTTCGATTTCCTCATTTCATGTAGGTATTCCTCGTGTACACCATCAATTCACTTTGTTCAATATATCCCTTTTTTGTGCTCCTGCAAACATAATTCACACCAAACAAATTAGTTTTGTTGTAATAAGTATGAAGAGAAAATGTAGGCATCAGGGGGGGAGGGGGGGATAACTATTACTTACGTCAGGTGGAATATACATTCTACAATTTTTTGAATAGCAAGAAAACTAAAATTCTCGAAGCTCAGCCATGTTTTTCATTAAAATATGAAAACCAATGTCCAAATATTAACTTTTCTGGAACCCAACATTACTCAATATGCAGCACGCTTTGCAAAAGTAGCGCAGACTTCCAAAACACTGGCTTCACGCAGAATTTCCGCTCTGCGAATGTCTATTCCCCGCAGTGCGCATGCACCTCGTGGGAAGAGCAATCAACAGAAACAAGCCTGCCCAGGCTACAAACAATAAGAAATATTTTGAAATATTTGAATAACAATACTCGATAAGAAAGTGAAATGACTGGAAAGGTTATTCGGATCAGTGCGAGAGTTTAGACTACTTGCTTGTGCCCATGTAATGACACAGAAACTCAGCAGGGCCTTCAAGTTGTTATAGTTTGTTTTGAAGAGAGAGAAAATAACTTTTGAGCCTGGCGTCAATTTTCATATGTAGCGCATCTATATATAGCTTGTACTATACTTAACAAAACTTGCTAGCAGTCATCCTGGGAAGAGGAAAGCAGCTAAATGCAGCCAAAAACTAATCGGTGCGGATGTGATAAGACAATACATACCTAGTGGCCAGGGTGGTACCAAACATTTTAGCCACCGTCTTGTGCTCAACACAAGCAGATTCCCCCCCCCCCCCCCCCCCCCCCCCCCATTTCTCGCAAGTGTCAACTACTTAAGTTATCTTTCATGAATACCCTTGACACCCATTCTTTCTTACTAACAGTTGACTTTGAAAAACTGTTGTACCATTGTGTTGTTTATCAATACTCGTGCCGGAAGACATTTTAGAGGCCATAGCTGTAGAAGCCATGGTGTACACTTCAAACTGTTTTTGCTTACCTTCACTGCTTTCTCCCAATGATTATGATAATTTCCATGTCCCCTACTCCTTCCAAGGAGTTAATTACTTTTGCTACTCTCCTTATATTAGGGGAGAGGAAGAAGCCAAAAGGATCTCATTAGGGGGAATGGAAGCATGTCAGATATACCAACATTCTCATATTTCCACCGATGTTATTGCGTTTGAGGCCACCACAGCTGCCACCATTGCACTCCTCACAGGTGGTACCTAAACTGTACTTCGTTTCCCTTCCATTAAAAATTGTCAACCACCAGCAAAAATCAAAACTAAAAGCTCAATTTGCACCAGTTTCCACTAGATTTCCTGACTGAAAATTAGCTTATTGGAAGGACGAAGCAATTATTGTACCTTTTTTTTAAAATTATAATTGGAACTATTATAGCACTGCAGGACAAAAGACACCTTCAACAGAAATCAGTATATACCCGACAACCATTAGATATTTGAAAATCCCAGGAACTGCCAAAATCATGTAGCACAAGAAAATCCATACCCCATGTTGCAATTGTGGAAGTTTGCTGAAATCCATATTCACAATATGCAACATTACAGCGGGCCCAGAAAAGAAATCTTACTGTACCTGGTCCTTATTAGATATTGGTATTGTTGCCAGCAGATATAAATAAACGTTCATGAAAGCATTTGCTGAAGAAGAGCTTTTATTGTGGACACCGTTACAAATCCTGAACTTGTTATCACAAACTTCCAAGGCCACTTACAAAAATCCTTGAAAACTCTCTGCATCCAGCCTGAAGACTGCTTTTTCCGGCGTGCGCTGATTCATAAGTGCGTTATGGCCTTGTCTTGGCACCAACATAAAATATTCTGGGTCAAAGTACATCACACAACCCGTGTCTTATAAATCTCTACGCAGTGCCTAAGCAAAAAGGCTAACAACATTACTATGATTATCTTATGTACATTAGTTATGAACAAAGCTACAGCATTATAATTATGCAGTAAGAGGGACTAGGTTAAAAACCCACTTTGGCATCGCAGCAGCTAGCATTGTAGGAACTCCCGACGTCTGTGTTGCGAGGGGGTCAACATTGTACCTGCAGACCGCACACTAAATCCCTCCATCAAGGGCACCTTCCAAAATGCTCTGTTGTCAACCCTGGTAAACACATTTGTTCAAAAGTCTACAGAATGTGCAGACCTGTCCTCAACGTCTACAAAAACTCGGAGGAAAAAAAAAATGTCACCTTCTTGTTGGTACAGCTGACAATGTTAAAAAAAAAAATAAAACAGTTTCTGTGAAACCACTGTATTTACAACTCCCAACTTCAATAGTGCAAAAAAAATATATATATACCGTATTTGCACGAACATAACGCGAGTTTTTTGTTGAAATTACGTGCTCTGAGAGAGAGAGAGAGAAGAGAAGGAGTTTGGAAAGGAAGAGATAGTCCTGTAGACTCACTCAAATGGGAGTCATGCTAATCTTTGAGGGGAGGGGGAATGGGAGTGAAAGATGAGCAGAAAGGAGTGAGAATAGATAGAGGTCGGGAAGCGGTCCAAGGGACTTGGGAGGGGGAGCCCGCGGAGCGCCGAGGACACTGAAACGCACCTCGCGTTATATTCGGAATCGTGTTCGGCCACGAGGCGCGCGAGTCTGGAGAAAGCCGGAGGAGAAAGTCATCCCTCCGGCTCAATGCAAAAGATCCAATGGAAAAAGAAGTGGGGGTGTGGAGGGGCATTTTCTAGCCATTGGGCCACGTGAACGGGCGAATAGAAAACATAAAAAAGCATTTTTATCGCTTTTGTGTTTTTACAACGCGCGCGCGCCATGCGGGAATGCGGGCACCGGCCAATTCGAGCCAAGCCAAGCCGGGCCAAGTCAAGTCAACACAAGCCAAGCCAAGACCACTGACCGCATTTACGCAATCGTGCAACACGAGGCATTTGTTTACGAAGAGGGATCAGAACAAGAAGTGTGATCGTGTATCGGGTTCAGCAGTCTTTTTTCTGCCTGCGCACTGTTTAGTTTCTGCTCCAGAGTGATCTGGTGTTTGTATGTTGGTGCTTCTGCTTCCGCGCCTTGTTTGGATTGTGGGCTGCCGAGGAGCTCCCACGGAAGAAAAAACTACCAGACAAGCAGGTGCCGTGCTGCTGCATACCTGCGTTGCCTGCGGGTCCATATCACATGAGCGAATGACATTTTAGCGAACGGCGACATTTGAGCGAATGGTCGTTTTAGCGAATAACGGGGGCGCGCGTTAACCCATCCGTCGCGCTGCGCTTTACGCCGCTTCGCGGCGACAGTCTACGGCAACTCATTGCAAAAATATGAACTCACTTGGCCCAACCGAAAACGCCGCTTCGCGGCGTCCGACTATTCGCTAAAGTGTCGTTCGATGAAACGTGGGCGTTCGCTAAAACGTCATTCGATCAAGTGAGTGCCTCCCGTTGCCTGCGTAGTCGCCAAGTGGATTGATTGGAAACGGAAGGACCCAGTGAGGATGAGTGCAGTCAAAACATAAACTGACATTTCTTCTATTTCCATTGACTTTTCACTTCTGCTATGCCCCCGAGTGCGAGAAATTGACGCGGCATAGGTTCGCGTTATAATAGTAATAATATTTTTTTTCTTTTTGGGGGAATCAAAAACTGCCCTCGCGATATATTCGTGGTCGCGTTATATTCGTGCAAATACGGTATATATATATATATATATTTCATCAATATTTGGTGGTTTTTGAGGCAATTATTGCACCATTACGCAAATGCAAAAAGCAGCAAAAAATTATAGTAGTTTAGGCTTGTGATACAAGGCAGTTCAGCTCTACACATGCTCGTAATTTTTAATTTACAAACAGATAGATATTCATCCAACCCTGCCTCGTCGACGATATTGAAAAACTTGGGACCACGTATCCACAATACTGTTTTCTCGTTGCCTAGTTTTGTCAGATCCCAGTGTTGAAAACTCGTGGTGGCACGTTGCTGAAGCTTCCAACGCCGAATTGTGGATGGACGCGAGCGCCGACTCCGACCCCTCGAACACCGCAGCATTTCTTCTTCCAAGCGCATCTTGTCTAATTTGCACCGGGGCAACAGTTGGCCGACGCTACCCCCCAACCACTAGAATAACCTCGTTGCTGGCAACCAGGATGTTGTCGTGGAACAGCACAGCTTATCGACAAAAGTGGTTGTAACAACGAAGCATCTAGGGACTACCGGCAAATGGGTTGGTAGGAGAATTGGGCCAACCCTTGCCCCGCGAGTCAGCAAAATTGAGGATTAAAAGCCGGTTCACACATACACCATAGCACTCAATCAACACTAGGAACAGCTCTGATGCAGCGCTGACCTGAACATAACTTAGCACTGGTGCAGTGCCGATCAGCGCTATACCACTAGCATAGCTTGAAGTCAGTGCGGGATCAGCGAGGTGAGCGCTGTTTCCAGCACTGACTGATAGCACTGGAGATCAACAATGCGTCAGCGAGGTCAGCACTACCTCCAGCGCTGACTGATAGCGCCCAAGTAGTGCTGCGGCATACGTGTGAACAGGCCTTAATAAACGAGTAGACTTGGGACACCAACTGTTTTCGGCGGCGGTCACTGCGACATACGACCACACACTTTGGATTGGGCCGTCCGGATCATATCCGCTCAGTCGTCGCCTTCGTCATCGTCGCGACGCCGAGCTGCGATCGGTCCGAGATTCAGTCCGAGGTCGAAGAGTGGTGCCACGTTCACCGTCAGGCAGAGCCGGTCTTGGGGGTCGGAGAGGAGCAGGAGGTTCAGAAGGAGGCGGCCGGCGATCCAGTGAGCCGCCACCTCCACCCCCGACGTCAGCCGGGCTTCACGCGCGGCCAAAGGGCGCTTGGAAAACTGAAAAGTTGGACAGCAGCTCAGGGAAGGGGCCTTCGCCGGACGGGGGCAGCTGGCCACGCAGTAGAAGCTGGAAACTGTGCGGCCACAGATGGAAGGCCGGACGTAAAAGCGTGCACGGGACGGGCACGGCAGGCAGCAGAGAGAGGAGAGAAAGGGGGGCAAAGGAGTGAAACGAAGAAGGCGGTGGTGGTGCGGTGAAAAGTCAAGCTATGCACATTCAATCAAATGTTGTCTGATGTTTGGTACTTGCGTTAAGTTTAAAATGAGGCAGTCAGCTTGTTCATTCTCCAGTTTTTGTGTGAGAGTACTCCCAAGTTTAACAACATTCTTGGCATTCTTACCCAGTTTACTCGAAATATTTGATGGACCTTCTTTAGCCAGCTGTTTCTCTGACCCATTTTGTACTAAAGTATTCTTGCAGGTCAGAAAAGTGTAAAGTACTCTCAACCTAGTACAGATAATAGCGAAAGTAACACAGCTCCTTTTTTTCTTTGTGCAGCATAACTTATATTGCCGCACGCGGGGCCGGGCAACCAAAGCTTGGTCATGGGCTTTTAGAAAAATTGTGTTTATTCTTACTCTGGAAGTAACTTTTATCATTTTGTCCTCCTTTCTTGTTCTCAAAAGTGCCTGTTCATTCTCTAATTGAATGTTTGATGCTCGAAGGTTCAGGGCCGAATTTTCGAGGTGCCAACTCACCCTAGATAAGGAGCTGCGCGTGACCTTGTCAAGTCAGTCTTGTTCTCACTTGCTATTACAACGCCAAATCACCACCTATTTTTCTGCTGTCTCGACGCTCAATCTTTATTTTGTTTGGCACAAGTTCACCCCATTAAATTTTCAGTTTGAAACTGGATTTTTGCCGCTTCTGCTTCTGTCCTTCGTGACAATATCATAAAGCGTTTGATCTACTATTCCTTCCCTTAAACCACCTCTTCATGCTTGCGACCAACAACTGCTCCGAACTGTAGCCCTAAACTGGAACTTGGAAGACTTGTTCAATATGTTCATTGCAGTTGACGCATGTTTAAGAAAGTATTAGGCAAATATAATGTTGTGTGACACTTCAGATGGATCAGATGATAAAGGTGGAGCAATAAACAGAGCACCGCAAGCAGAAGGCAGCATCATGCACATGCAGCTACAGCAGAAAAGCCTGCTCTCATGCACAAACATCTCGACACATGCAACCAACGTAAACAGCTACAGTGGCCTTGGTAGGCAAGCTGCGGAAAAACATTGGTAAGGTGTACACTCAGCCTCACCAAGACCTATCATCTGTCGAAATGGAAAGCCACTCCAGAAAACACCAAACATAAAATCCCAAGAGATAGCCCACCTAACATCAAGAGCAAATCGGCTGAAAATATGAAGTGGGCTAACTTTCGGTGTACGATCAAGAAAAAATGTAAAAAATTGCTATTTTTAGGTTGTGTCCCTTCCAAGCTTGTTATGGTGACGAGGGGCAACAAAGCAAAGATGACTGTACTTCCCAGTCAGCAACGTTCGCTTACATCCCGCCATAGCGAACTAGCCGCATTTACGCCGAGGACATTATTGATCCCAACACTACTATTACCGGAAATGGGATATCTTTCGGTGTTTAAAACATTATAGCAAATCAAGCCAAAACTGGGGGGTGGGCTATCTTTCGGAGGTGGGGAATCTCTCAGGATATTACAGTAACATAAGATCCCCGAAACGCAAGTTTCCTTTTCCAAATTATGTAAAGAGTGTAAGCTCCCCAAACTTTAATGATTTTATCTGAGCCACCAAATGACAGTAAAACTTCAAAGCGACTTTCTAGAATAATTTTGAACCCCCCACCCCACCCCATCAGCTAATTAATGCACAAATGCCTTCAGCAAATACTTTAACCCTCCAAACCAAAAAGGCATTAATTAAATGCATTTCCAAACCCTTTCCAAAGCTTTCCTATTAAGCAGTACCAAATAGTCTCTGTAACCAGACAGTACCATGGGAAAAAAATCCAAACCCTTTGCTTCTCACACTGGCATTAGAGCTTGAAAGTATAAAATTCTATGTTGACTGATGAGAATACAACATTCTACTGTTAAAATAATATACTAACAAAACTTAAAACTAATGGCTCTTGGCTTTTACAAACATATTAAAACACTCGTGCATTAACATTAGTATACAGCAAATGCATAAGAAACATACAGCCAGGTGAACTGACTCTGTTCACCCTTCCCTCTTGCTGGGAGCCAAAGCTACGAGCTACGGATCCTCAGTTGGCGGGTTTGAACACCGGCTGAGGTGTCCACAATCTGATAGAGGTTTACTGCGCAGGAGGCACCACATAACCGAGGTTTTGGTTATACATCCAGAGTCCTTTGCTGGGGTGTGCCAGATGTTTTTCGTTAATTTGGCACATAAAAACCTCAAAATTTGACTTCTTTTTCTAGTCGAAACCTTTTGCCACTAAAGCGTCAGACTATGTCTGCCCGCTAGAGCACGTCACGTAACATGGTAGAGGCACTGGATAGGCGCAGACAGCTCATGGCTTCGGCCTCCGGTTTGAGGAAAGGGTTCGAATGGCAACCTTTCATTTCTTGGTTACGAGTCAACTGAAGCGTAATGAACGAATGGGGAATGATGAATTACACTAGGTGAAGGGACAAGTAAAGGACTAAACAGTTGGGGGGGGTCGAGGAGGCTCGAAGGACAGGGCAGCAGACAGGAGGCTTGCAGCGAGGGGACAGCAGCACGAGCAAGAGATTCGTACCGGTCATTGGAGGACGCGGTCCCTTCCTTCTCTCCCTCGTTTGCGGTCCAAGAGATGGAGGCCACCTCATCCCCTAATGCTCTTAAATACCCGGAACCTTTGCCACCAAAAACAAATTTCAAGAAATGTTACTCTCCAAATCACTCTTCTCTGCCACTTTGCCGTCAGCATGCATCACTGCTAGGGCTACAAGCATTTGTGTCGTGTGCATGTATACCGTAAGCAGAACCACATGCTCTGCTATGTGCACTAACGTCGGAAAAAAAACAACTCAAACAGTGAATGAAAGTGCGTAAACTGAGAGAAAAAAGAGAAGATAGCTCCTTTTGCAAGCTGCACTGCACAAAGCAGATACCCCAATCAAAACGGGACTCGTCAAACAGGCCGCAAATGGCGATGCCCGATTCAATGGTTTTGGTTTGGCGAAACACAGCCTTTGGCGAAATACAGCGTCATACAGCCTTTGACTATCAATAGCTGAGCTGTTGGCTCTTGTGAGATCAGAACACAGAAATACCGGGTCAATATTTCAAAACTTCTTACAGGGCAAATTGGGCAAAGCTATGAGGAGGCACCTGCCAAGTGCTGAACTATTTCATCCCATTTCATCAACAATGTGTGTTCAAAAAAAGACAACAAACGAGAAATAACAAAATAAGGAATCCAATCAATGGTTAATGCATTATTGGTAGATCCTACCTAGTCATGCACAACGTTAAACACGAAGGTGATGCTTCTGATAAGAACTATTCTGTCCAAGGTAGATTTGCAGATACACTAGGCCCTCAAAACAAGCTAGAATTCACCAGATTATCAACAATATTCATATTCAAAGTAACACTTTTAGTATCAAATATCAGCCTCCCAACTAAAAAGGTATTTTGCAAAAGTGCAGTGAAATTACCTATTCGATGACAGAAAAAAAGAAACCTGCGTGGGGTCTATCACTACAACAGCATAACAGCAAAGTGCTGCAGTAATGTGTGGAGCACGGGGGGGAGAAGATAAAGTGGGCAGATAGATCAGCAGCTTTATCGAGTATGTCACTAAAGAGCAACTCCACTCGCAAAATTCTATCCAAATCAAATTACTTATGTTGCTCCAGTTGGATATGATCATGATTGCAGTATTGTGTTAAAATGCCACTGGAGATCCCTGCTAAAACTGAAATAAAAATATGTGCTGTAGGCTCCTGTGGCTTTAGATCCCGACGGAGCCATACTAACCAAAGTTTTACCTTTTTGTACAGCCTGCGCTTTTTGGTTGCTACGAGTCAACAACTGAGGATGCATCTTGGATGTATATTTCGCTCGTTTTCACGCGCAGTTGCTCCTCAGCCCATCATTTCAGTTTTTCCACTGACCCCCCCCAAAAAAGTTAAAATTAGACTGGTATCAGGCATGTAGCCATGGGGGCATTTGGCACAGGCCCCCTCCCCAAATCTTCCATTTTGCTGGGGCGTCCTCTCCCCCCCTCCCCCTCATACAGCATTTTGTCATGGGCAACCCGACACTCCCCCCCCCCCCCCTCTCCCCCCCTTCCCTCCCTTCCTCCCTCCCTCAAACCAAAATCCTGGCTACGTGCCTGACTGGTATAGTGTATAATTTCACAAAACTGTACACAGTACTCGAAAAAAAAACAAAAAAACTTCCACCACATAATTCGGATATGCTGCATGCACTATGAACAGCTTTAATCCTAAAATATAGAACATTGAGTGGAGTGGCCCTTTGTGCCTTCAGGTTCAAGCATGAGCACTCATTTTTGCAGTTTGCGAGCAAAAACAAAATTTACAAATTGATTAGGAGTAAGCCGACACGCTTTAGTCAATTTCAATGCTCATAATACTGCATGCATGGCAGCAAGCGTGTTAAATCAAACGAAGTGCCCTAGCAAATTGAAGGAAACAAAAAGCATGCCTAGATGTGCAAATTGTAAATCACCGCTGCCACTAATGTCGGCCTAAAAACAAATAAAAATAAAATCTGGCCTAGTTTTCCTCTCACAATTGAGAGGGAAACATAAAAGTAAATCTTTTATGTTGAAGCATGAGACGCAATACAAAAAAAAAACCACACCGGTGCAGTATACTACTACCGTAATACCCCAAAAGGATAGTCCAAAAGGATTTCTCTATCGCACACCAGTTTAGGTGTGCGATAGAGAAAAATTTTTTTAAATAATACTTTGGTGTTTTGTGACCTACCTGCCAGACTTGTTTTCACATTGAGGGGCAAGGGAGCAGAGACAACTGTCCTTGCCAGTCAGCAATGTTTCCTTATCTCCCGCCATAGCTAACTAACCCCGTTATGGTCAAGGTCACCATTAGCCAAGGCACTGCAACTACTAAAAATAGGCTATCTTTCTGTGTTTGTGAAAAACAAATAGCAAATCATGTTAAAAATAGAGGGGGGGGGGGGGGGGGGGGGGGGGGGGGGAAGGTTACCTTTCGGGTGTGGGACATCTTTAGGGATATTACAGTATGGCACCTCTCCGTAATTAATCGTTAGCCCTTTCTTAAACATGAATAAATCCCATGGCAATAGGTAAGTAAAGAACAAAGTGCAAGGCCACTAGGTGCACACGACTTGCTTGCACCTAGCAGTGGTCTTGGTGCGAGTGCATTTGGTCGCATCGCGGTCGAACCTCCGTTATTTGGCAGAGTTACTTTCGTGTTCTGTTTCTCAAAAGCTCGTGAAGCCATCTTTCCGGCCTTCCTCCCGCACAACACTGCCGATCTGCGCGCCCCCTTACAAACTTTTTTTAAATAGTTCCCCCCCCCCCCCCCCCAAAAAAAAAAATAAATAAATAAAAAGCAATACTAGCTTTCAGAGCATCGCTGCAACTACAGCATGTAAGCTAACACTTCTAAGACACATTCGACCGCCCGCAAAAATTGGTTTTTCATCGTATCACGTTGCAATTAACTACGGAGGTGCAAGCAGGTGGTGAAAGTTTACAGTGAAAAAATCAAGAAATGAACTTACCTCGTTCAAAAGGGGAAAAAAAGAAAACCTGTTCTGGGCAATCTACATTGCCACTTTGCAGACGATGCACGCGTGGAAAGAAGTGCTGCCGACGAATGATGTACTCGAGTCGAGGGAGCACCGGCTGATTCGGGTCGATAGCAGACGATCTCGCAAAAAATTCCGAATGGCCCGCACTTCCTGTCGGCAGCATTTCTCTCTACGCATGCATTTTCTAGAAAGTGGCAATGTAGATTGCCCAAAACAGCTTTTTTTTTTTTTTTTTTTTTTTTTTTTAACGAAGGAAGTTTAGTCTTTGATATTTTCTCAGTAAACTTCCACCAGCTGCTTGCACTTCTGTAGTAAATTGCAGCGAGATACATCGAGAAACCGCTTTTTGTGGGCCGTCTAAAGTACCTGAGAAGCCTTAGTATACATGCTGTAGAGCCCCACTAGCCTCAAAGTAACAACACTTTAGCCATCTTGGTGCTTCAAATTATTGTCACCAGTCATCTGAACATTTATCAGAAATCGCAGAGAACTCCTTTCCGCCTTCCAGAAACGTTAAAACAGTCCGCGACAAGGCAAGACAACATCGCCCAAGCTTCTCGACGCCACACCTAAAGAAAAGGAAGTGTAGGGCAGCCCATTGGGCCTGCCCCGCACTAAACACCGAAACAAAAATTGGAGCAGCAGTGTTGCCAATTTAGCGGCTTTCCTACTGAATTCAGCGGTCCTTGATAACTGTCCGGCGGGAAAAATCGCCGTTTTGCGGTTGGTGTGATTTTTAGCAGTTTTCGAGTCGTGTTAGCCTTCTTCTTTCGGCAGTCTAAAATGTCCTCTAATTTACAATTGTCGATCGTAAATAGATTAATTTTAGTGGTAAGTTACAGTCATGGAGTCATTATTTTTGCCTTCCCTCAAGTTGCATTAAAATGGCCGTTCTTGGCCTGCACCCCAAATTTAGCGGTTTTTCGGGATTCCTCTTGCGAGTTTTTGAGTTCTGAGGTGGCAACACTGTCGGGGAATAAGGTGTCGACACCGACGGCGCAGCTCATTAGTGACTTTCGCCTCAACAAACCCCACTGCACCAGAAAAACACGACGACAACTTCCCCACAAGAGTTTCTCAGCTTTCGTTGCCTGATTTGGGAAACGCCCCGTCCGTTCTCCCCCCCCCCCTCCCTCCATCCCCGAGCATTTATGCTAACCGGCTCATACGACGCGCGGGGCACTACAAAAGTGGGGTTCAGTCTTCAGCAACCAGCAGCCATCAGCAAAATGAAGGCAGAGGTGAGAGGAAGAGAAGCCTGGGTTAGTTGCGGCAGGGGGGGCCAAGCAAAGGCGTCGGCATCAATCCGTGCTTTCGCGGAAGAGTAAAAAGCGAAACTCACAATTTCCTGATCCCCGAGGCCCTTCCGAGAGAAAAAAGCTTCTCCTCGGGCTCCTGGTTGATGGGGCCCTGCACGGGCAGGTCGTCGTCGTCGGGACTGTGGTGCGACGCCTGCTGCGCGGGCCTGCTCGAAACCGAGGTGGCTTGATAAGTCCACCACCTTTCACGCGAAACAAAACATGGTCACAACCTCAAGGTGGGGAAAGCACACACTCTGAGAGAGGAGAAAAGGAAGAAAAAGGGGAGAGAAGATTCGACGCCAGTGAAGAACGAGAGCAGGAAACATGGAACTGTCAAGAGTACAATCATCACGACGATCAAGATTTTAGTTCCAAAAGACAAAAATTTCCTCCAACTTTCACTTATTCTCTTTTTCTCTCTGCATGAGACAGATTAAGCCAAGTTTTCCAAATGTGTGTATCAATGTCGGTGCCGGGGGGGGGAGGGGGTCGCCAGATTTAGTGAAGCTCAAAAAATCAACCACAAAGCTCGACGTTGATTGGCTGGTGGAAAGGACACGTGAACGCTGATTGTCTGATTCCTGTGAGTATGCAAGGTTCTGGAAAACCACCAGGCTTTAAAACCCGACTAGAGCCAGTATTTTCATTCCAGGAACTGCTATCAAGTTTCTATGCCACAAGTTAAGTTGTCTGATGAAGAGCGCCGTGAGTGTGGGCGCGGGGCTCGGTAACGTTCCAGAGTGATATTGGAATGTTTCACATGTAACACAATTACCCAGCAGATTGCTACACACAATTTTTTCCTGTTTTCTTTTAGAATGTAATGATTGTTAATGGTTTTCAAAAGCAGAAAGACCATTAAAAAAAAGCTGGGGGATATGACTATGTTGTGTCAGCATTAAAAAAGAATGGGTGATAGAGTCTCATCGTCTCAGTATTTGAAAGACTACTGCTCCCATAATTCCATGCCTTTACTGATGGTTTTGACGAAACAGCCAAGAAAAATATTTCCTCCACAAGAAGTGAACTCCAGCATGTAGTTTTGTTTTCGAGATCTCGACCAAACATCTTGTTTTGAAACTACCACGCTTCTCCCAGTAATTCAGAATCCCATTTTCTCCGAAAAGTGAAGCTACATCTGAGGCACACTACGATTACGCAGGAGAAATTTCTGCCGAAACGTGGGACGAGCACTTTGATCTCAAGAGGGAGGTCAGTGTTAATCCCGGATATTGCATAGCTCCAAGTGGGTTGCCGTTTCTGAGGGAACGGGCAAAAATTACATGTTACCCATTTTATTTGGCTACAGTGATTACCGAGTCTGTGCATTGTGCTGTCTCAGCTACGGTGCTGTAGCGTGAGATATCAATCATGCCTTGACAGATGAAGATAAAAACTATCCTGCTTCATACAGTTTCACTGATGATTGTGAAAAGAGCAGTCCTGGCAGAAACCGATAAACATAACTATCCTACATTCAAGCTAAGTGAAATCATATTTTCGTTCACTTTGAGAGACAAAACACAAAACGCAACAAATTCTTGAACTCAGAAACTGGCAGAGAGAAAATGAGGTATGCTGCTCACCAAATTCCACTTGGGAGACTTTCACCCTAGCCCCAACATCACTGTCCTGCCTAATTTCACAAAAGATGTAACCACGCCATACGCCATTCACCCCTAAGCTGACAGTGCAGTGGGAGCAATGAGCCAGCGCCCAGACTTTTTTTGTCTAAGAGCGAAGTGTGTTGGCATTTGAGTCAATGAACAAGTCTTTATCCGGACCCAAGGAACCTTTTGTGTTGCTAAGTGCTACCCCCCTCCCTTTTGTCACCCGACCTCACTCTCTGCACGTGGGTATGGGTAAGAGTGTGAACACCTGGCAAAAGATAGATGTATGACTGGTCCATTGAATACGTAGCTTCCACAATCTTGTCGGCTTAGATGTGAATGGAGCGTACACTGCTCGATCCATAACAGCCTACTTTGTCTCAATTCGAGGAGAGACCAGCGAGACGGAGTGTAGATGTTTGGGGGGTTCCTCACATGGGCCTGTAGAGGGCCAGTTCGTCCTCGAGGTCGCTCACTTTGGCCTTGAGCTCGTTCCTCTCAAAGAGGATGTTCTTGAGCTCATCCAGGGTGAAGCGGGGCCGCTGCGGATCGTCGAGGTCCACCAGCACCTTGCCGCGCATGTCCACGCTGCTTAGTCCGTCCTAGAACACGAAGTGGCAAGCAAAAGAAAACCTGTCACTCAGAGGTCACAAGCAAGGCCAACATTCAGAAGGGTGGAAAAGGTAGATATTTTAAGTTTCATTGTTAGTTCAGTCTCTTATTTGCAAGTGCATCCAGAAAACGTAAAAAGAACTTCCACACATTTTTCCGTGTTTATTTCTTGCCAATCCTCCTCGTGTAACACTTTCCCTTCTGTAATGCCTACACCCCGAGAGAGGGAAAGAGAAGGTTTATTAAGGACAAGGAGGTTAACCTGAACCTAGGTACTGACTGGCTACCCCGTACTGCGGATGAGGGGAGGCGGGGAGAAAGACACGGTGACGAGGAAGAGATGGGGTGAAATTGTCAACGAGGACAGATATGCTAACGGGACAGACGTTCAAGGTCTCACAAAAGAATTCTCGGGCACCAAGACAGCGGCCGATAGTTCCACATCCACGAAGAGCACTACTGAGGCCTTTGTGGCCTTTACGAACTGGTTGGCTGTGTTCTAGCAACACCACCTGGAAAACAACAAGGCCCGCACAGGACGTCGTCGTCAGTGGATCTCCGACTTGCCCAAGCAACAGACACGCGGAAGCTCGACGAGAGCCGCCGCACTGCGGCAGATGCATCCACCTTGGTGTCGCAGCGTTCTAGCATCACGCTCGATGTGAGACATTAGGCAGTTTTAGAATCGCACATGCTAAAGCTTTGCGTACGCAAAGAATAGCATCGTCGTCACTGCGCATGTGCCGAAGACTAACTGCGTTTTGCACTTTCCGTGCGCTATTTTAGCTTACGTTTCTCTGCAGAAATTGCCCGCGTACGGAAAGAGTCTATGCACTCTTCCAAGAGGAATTCGCAATGAAGAATTGGCTAAAGCCACGATGAGCACAGTAAAAAGAATGGCGGCTTTCAGGATTTTGCGGCGTCATGAGCGCGACGTCGGCGGCATCATTGGGATTGTGATTTTCAACACAGGACGACATTGCACTCCTACGGGAGGTTCACGTCAGAAACGTTTTGGAAGACCCAGGAAGGTGGGCAACAATTGCCGACAAGTTGCTGCTTGCAACACACAAATGTTTCTCGGCGGAGGTACAATGTGCGGTAATCAGTATACGAGATCTTTGTCGCCGAGACGACGCAAGCGGACATGACTAGTCGACCGCTCCAGTCGCATTCTCATATTTAGGTAAATCTGATATGCTATTCCGAAAAAAAAAAAAAAAGAACTTGTATATTTTTTTTTTCAGTTTACATCATCATTTCATGCGTGAAATAAAAATTGTTACTGTATCTTGGTGGTGTTGCAAGCACGAGATCTTTGGGCTTTTGCACAGCGGCAGAAAAACCCTATACTAAAGCATTCTTGTATAGCGTGCGCTAATGCAAGCGCTAAATTTAGCACTACCGCGCGCTAATATTGCGCACATTATTCTAAAACATCCTTCCTGCATGACGTTGCGTGATGCACTACCAGGCAATGCTGGTGCAAGCTAGGCGGCGCTGCACGAATCCACTAGTGACGACGTTTCAGAGGAAAAACCTGGCGCCGGCCTCGTCTTCTAGGCGGTATTGGCCGCAGGTACCAAGCAGTTTCCGAGAGCCGAAAGGCTACGAGTCCACTACCGTTAACGTTTGTTGCAGCGCTTCCTCCCGTCCCAGGGGCACATACCCGCGACTCGAGCAGGTCGTAGTTGTCCTTGACAGCTGTGCCCAGGCGCTGCTGCAGCAGGGTCAGTTGCCCGTGCGCGTCCTGTAGCTGCGCCTGCAGGTCCCCCTGCTCCTCGCACAGCTGCCGCACCTGCACCTGCAGGCGCCGGCTGCGACGGCCCTGCTCCGCCACACTCTTGCGTGCCGCCTCCAGCTGCCGCTGAACCTGCGCGCCCGTTCGACGCTCAGTCAACCCCCCGACAGTAGCCTATGCAGTACCACAGTTTTACTTCGATGTTAGGGGCGTCCCTTACTTTTAATTACCGTGACAAAAGAACAAACATATTCAGGCTTGCTGTCCCCGCCGTGTGAGTCGACTTGCAAGTGGCGTGACCACTCAAACTACTCGCCAATCGGGAATAAAGTGAAGCCTCAGATATCACAACTTCTCCCACTTTCTGGCTTTCCTCGTGTAATGAATGCACCACTAGAGGCCTTTCAGGTAAAAATAAATTAAAACGAAAATGAAATTATTTCTCACCATTTTTTTTTCAGGTGCCCTCTCTACAATTTATGTTGGACAGTCCCCAGACTTTTGCACGCAGCCAGAGGAATGAGAAGTGGAACACCTACAGCTTCATTATTGTACCAAACGTTTTACAACCCAAAGACCTTGAGTTTGAAAAGGGACACTTCCATCATCTTTAAGAATTTTGCACAAACACACACACATACACACGTTTACAGTTTGTCTGCTGCCTCTTTCGCATTGTTGTGTGCATTAATTTGCGATGACAGTAAATAAAAAGAGAGATGCTAATTCGAAGGGAAATTCGACCAACCACTACCAGTGTAGGCGCACTGACACTGAACTGTTCGTCCAATTGGGTGGGTATTTGGAGCTCAATCTGATGTAAATTTCTTTGAGCTTGTACATTTTCTTGTAATTGCAATTACTCTTTTTTGTTATATAGTATGTACAGCCTTAATCACAGTTAGTGGGAACACGATAATGCACGGCATCATGGGCTATCGGAGTACTTTAATGGCCCGGCATGCAACTGCAGTCCATCCGCTTCGCTGCAGTAACAGTTCTACATTGGGCCATTAGAGTGCTCCGATAGCACCCCGAATGAGCCTCTCCCGTGTTCCCACTAACTGCGATTGAGATAGTACAGCCTCTGTCAAAAGTTTGAAGCCTACCACATATGTGGCCGGAGCGTGCTTGCTCCCGCACGACAGTGCTGCTATAACCGGTGCTTGCTGGCTGCGAAGGTTTTGAGAGCAAGGGAGAACTTCGCTCTTGCATAATGCTCGCCTTCATAGCAAAGTTGTTATCAAGACGAGCAGGACGCTAGATCGAAGTTCCCCATCAATCTCAAAACACTTGCAGCCAGCAAGCACTGGCGATAGCAACGCAGCCCAATTGGAGCAAGCCCACTCCGGCCACGTGCGCGGTGGGCTCCAAACTTTTGTTGAAGACTGCACATAGATCCAGTGATGCCAGCTCACCGTCTCCAAATCGGCAGCCTTCTGCACCAGGTCCTTCTCGCACTTCCGCAGCTCCGTTGTCTGCTTGTCGTAGGCATCCCTGAGCTGTTTCAGCACGAGGCTCTCGTCCCCCAGAATGTTGCCAGCTGAAAAGAGTGGTTGAGTTTGGTCCCATTACTTTGTGTGTCAAGTGTAGACGCTAGGGAGCCTTCATGTGCGCTTTGCTAGGGTGATGCCACCCTTTGTAATACCACTCGCCGACAAACCAGCAGCCACTTTGTTCCTCGGCGATAATCCGTAGGGCTTATAACCCTCCGGGAAACAAGCACCTTATCTCAGAAGTTCGGAGCAGCGTTGTGGAACCCACGGAGGGAGGATTAGCCTTTTCCCCCTCGGATGGGATTACCGATGGACACAAAGGCCACTTTCCGGCGCACGGGGAAACAATGAGGGGAACAAAATGGCGGTGGAAGAGGGTGTGGGAAAGGGAAACAGGCAGTTGGCATCACTCTATGCGAAGCGCACATGAAGGCACTCTAGTAGACGCCCAAGGAGGGACAGCTGCAGTAAACTACTAAAACCAAAATAAAACATATTGTTTTTGTAAAAAGAAAAACAAGTTTGTCTGTTTGAAATTTGGTAGTGCAGTGCTAGGTCCTACGTAAAAAGCGTTCTATGCTTGAACGGGCCAGTGGCTTCGTATTTGTATTCCGTAACAAACCTTATCCTATCCTTCTAAGGACAGAAACTTCTTAATTTACCGAGAGATACGTTGAAGGATGAACTGCCGCAGCAAAGTACTATAAAGACAAAAACTTATAAATTTACAACGGAACATGTTCTGAATATGTAGCTCCATTGTCAAAACTGCAAGCTCGGAAAACAAGAAAACATAAAGCCCTAATTTCTTATCAGCCATAGTTAGTGTTCTGGGTTTTCGGAGTTTCATTATGTTACATTCAAAATTTTAGTAATTAGGCATACATAGAGGCTTAGCTTGGTTATATTCCCAACACTCTCAACTCATAAATAAAAAGAAATATGTATATCCACATATAAATGCATGAGTCACAGAAAGTCATTTTAATTGTGAGCAATATTTACAACAAATATACAAGATAAATTCCTCCCTATCCTAGTAAGAGGCCCGAATGGTAGAAACTGGAAACCAGAACAGTGACCAGCAGAATCGGACACCTAGACTGGCTGCTGTTGCGACCCAGAAATACAGCAATATGAACCCACTGTCCTGAACAGACGCTAGAGACAAACTTCTGTTATCCAAGGGAAGTTAGAAAGGACAATAGTGTGGTCTCCAATGAGGACCACTGACCCACCACCTTACCGGGACTAAACCACAGAAGAAATACAAAAAAAAAAAACAATGAAACAGGAACCAAATATAGCTTAGACTGCATACATTTAGAAGAAAAGACTGGCAGCATCACTTGAGTATGCATGCAATGCTTCTGCAATTCAATGCTGAAATGTTAATACTGGGTCAAGGAAAACGTTAAGGGAATAACATATTTTCATGAGATGGCAGTTTTAAGCTTCATAACTTGGATGTCTAGGATGCCATTATTAAAACACACACAAAAAAAAAAAAAGGATCCTGGGAAAGCATCTAAAATGTTCTTAAAGAACCCCTAAAAAAAAAGTTTTCTTTTTATCAATTTTGTTAAGACCCGCGTGTAAAAAAAAACTTTTACGCAAAAAAAAATTTTTTTTAGAGCAATATTGAGGGTGTGAGACGCGATTCAGTCGGTGGTCACCTTTTTCCACTTGTTTTTTTCTCTTGGCATTTCGGGCACATGGAGGAGAGGTGAATCGGCTTGGCCATCACGTTGAGGTGGAGAGAGTGTATGACCATTCCATGACGTCAAGGACTTTGCACGCAGAATTTAAAATAAATCTTGTGCCATTAATATTGCTCTCAAATTTTCTTTTTTTTTTTTTTTGCGTAAGAATAATTTTTTTTGACACGCAACGTTCACCCAGGCTTTAAAAATATATTTTTTTTTCCTTTTCAGGTTATTTTTAAAGGGATTGTCCGATAAAATTTTGTCTTTCAGAAAACAATTAAATTATATTGTCATTGCTTTAATATATCTGCACAATATCTGAATTTTTATTCCTTCACCACACAAGTAATCCAATTGTAAACAGAGTCCAACTGCTCATATTTCACCTGCAAAACACAGAACATTTTCGCTGGCCACAGCAGGAGCTCTGACGTAACATCATGCAAAGAGAGTCACGACAGCTCCTGACTGCTGTCTCAGTAAAATGACCTTGTTTTAAGAAAGACAAAATTTACGGTATTGAGGGAAGCTCAATTCTTCGACAATGATCTTTGAACGCACCATCAACCATAGTGATCAAAACCCGGAATAAGTCATCGCCCGCGACTCTGACGTTACCATGTCTGATGCGACGTCACAACATGACCAGTTATGCATACTTGCAAAATTTGGCTTGAAGTTTCGTATTGATGTTCATAATTGGTTTAACGAATATTGGGGCATATTTTAATGAAATCAATACCACATATGACTATATCTAGGCCCTCTCTATGTGACCAGCGCAAAAACTTAGTAACTTCCGGATATCACCGGACAATCCCTTTAACTACCCCAGTTATAAGTGTACCTCGAAAGCTGCATCAGGTGCAAGTAAATGAGGTAATGCAATAATTGTACCATGAGGCAATTAAACCAGCTTGAATTATCACATTATTTTGGCTAGACAAGTAAATTCACATGAAATGTGGCAGTTGCAACACAGTAATGGTCTATTCACACGATGCATCTTGTTGGCGAATCTTGTGTCGCGAAACTAGGTTTCGGGAAACAGATTCCCCGTCTGAACGCGACCGAAAGAGTGCCGCGCCTCCGAAAAAAGTGGCGCGTCTTCCTCGCTTCTGGAGCAATTTTTCGCTGAAACCTCACCGAGGCCTGTCAATCACCCGAAGAAGAAACGCGGGCGCTGCCAATGGCCGCTCAACTTTGCTATGACGTCTGACCTTCGAGGAGGAGCGAGCTTTTGGAGGAGTCTGATTTTCGGCCGATTTCGTATCTGAGCCAAAGCCGAGAGAAAATAAACAAACATGGCGAGCGACAAGCGGAGGAGCGGTGCGTACGGGCGACGTCCTACTCGGCGTCAGGTGTGCGAACGGCGCCTACAGTACGGGTTGGTGGCGCGGTACAGATTCATCAATAGTCGCGACGAGTGCAAGCACCGGATATAAACCTGGTGACTGGGGATAACTTTCTTTATTAGCGGTGCAAAAATGTCCGAAATGCTTCGAGATCATCTGCCTGTTCTTTGACGTTCGCGGTCTTTCCCGGGTTTGGCAGGACTAGTAAACCCAGTGAGCCGAATCTGACGAAGTTCCTTGAGTGGTATTAATAAAACAGACTGTCCCTTCACACTGTGCGTACTTCATATCATTTTGATGAGAAATGCTTGGTATTCCCGGTGCAGATGACAAGGTTTGGCGAAATTCTCGTGAGTCAATACGTCACAGGTTTCGCGCGTCAAACTCCACGTGTGAACAGGCCGATTTCGCGAAATCTTGGTTTCGCTAAACTGTGGCGCGTTGAAAAGATGCATCGTGTGAATAAGCCTTAAGGAGTAAATGCAATTGAATTAAGAATGTTGTGCTGTGCCAATGTTGAGGCAAGGCATCACACACAAGATTTATCAGGTGCCATAAGAACTCAATATAATGAAGGCTGCTACAGAGCTTTGACAAAAAGCAAGCACGTACCCCCCCCCCCCCCCCCCCACAATCCAATAATAAAGCAGCTGCTTTAGCTGCTGCAGATAATGAGCACTTCCAATGTTGTCCTTCCACACTATATGGTATGCCTTATTCCCCAAGGGCCAGCAAAATAAAAATGCATCAAACTGAAATCCTCCTGGCATTTTAGAAAAACCACACTTAGAATATTGTGAATTATCAGTTTAACCAAGATATGAATCAGCTTGAGGGTATAAGGTTTATGACCGTTTTTAGTTATTAATATTATTACTGTTGTTATCATGATTTGTTCAGCGCAGCAATTTTAGAGCGCAGCTCTTAGGGGCCTGTTTCCAGCTTGAGCGGCATCGCCGTTGGCGTAACCGTGAGGTCATGTGACCCCCCAGGCCACGTGATCCCCCCCCCCCCCCCCCCCCCCCCGAGGTTAGGTGACCCCCCTCAGGTCACGTGACCCCCCTGACGTCACACGACCCCCCGAGGTCACGCGACCTCCCAAGGTCACGTGACCCCCGAGGTCACATGACCCCCGAGGTCACATGACCCCCTCAGGTGACGTGACCCCCCCTGACGTCAGACGACCCCCCCTGAGGTCATGTGACCTCAAGGAGTCACTTATCACTCAGTACCCTCCCATCCTCCTCCTCAAGAGCTGCGCTCTAATCCGGCATTACAGGGAATTGTAAACGGCTTTCATTTTTTTCTTTCTCCTTCTCTTATCATTCCTGAACCTCACTCATAAAAATACAAAAACAAACAGCTGCAGAAATAACACGAACCAAGAATGGTAAGGGCACTTTCGAATTAGATTTTGCTTCTCCAGAATAACAAACTGGGACTGAAAAAACAGGGGCCTACTCTCAATTCCACCAGCATTACAAATAAAAAACAACACTATTTTTTTTTTATTTAACCAACTTGTTGGAACAAAGCCACAAAGCCACACCAAACGCTTGACTGGAAAATGGGCCGTGCACACACCCCTTCTGTAAAGGTCAATGATGTGCACACCAGTATAGCCAGCCATCAGATTAATGCAAGTGAATTGCTTTCCTCCTCAGCCCCTTCTGCTCTCTCTCTTTTTTTTTGTCTGCTTAGTCAGGCGCTTAACATATAATTTGTATAATTCGTATAATTTCCAAGTTTGGGAATGTTAATAGTGGGCACTTAAACTAAGTGGGGGCTTCTGCAGTATTTTACGATATAATATTGGCAGATGTGTATGCCACCTCTGTCTTGAATGAAAAGATAAGAAGAAAAAAACAGAAAGAGATAAATAAATGACATCTACCTGCAGATTATAAGCATCATCTCCACCATGCAAGAACTGGTCGAAATCAATTGAAGCGGCGGCGTCTTCGGAAGTATCAACGTCGGGAGAAAACACAAAGAAGTGCAGGATATTACCATGACCAACATTTGGGCTTAGCAGAGTTTGCTGTGTGTCCACCATAAGCTCAGCTGGTTCAATGTCCATATCTCTCAGGCAACCATATCTTTTAGAGTTATGTTTGATAATTTTTTTTATTATCTCAGTCCTCGATAAAGGATATCACTTTCTGTCTCGTTCAAAAACAGCCACCTTCAGTGTGTGCCTCATTGTGCCAAATTTCAAATGTGCTCAATGTAAACGTAAAAAAAAAAAAAAAAAAAAAATGAAAAGTTTTAATGTTGGAAGGGTATTGTTTCATTGTATCAGAAGGATTGTGTTTAAGTTTTGTCTAACCAGGCTCTAGACTGGTACTTCAGAGCCTAACATGTGCCAGACAAACCAGTCGGTGTTAGAACTGACCAGAGAGTCGCTAAACGCGACATCACGTAACACTTGCAAAATGTATATCACATAAGAAAGTAAAAACGCCACCAATAATTTTACACCCACAGAGCTCTTCTTTTTTAAACTTTCGTATACACAGCATTTTAAAAACAAATTATTTACTTTGATGGACAATAAGTCTTACCTAATGTACCCTACTAAAACCGTCTGGGTACAAAAAAAAAGATTGGCTTATCGAGTGCCGGCTGACGGGGAACACGCACCGGACCAGGGCCGTACCCAGAAAAAAATTTCGGGGGGGGGGGGGGTTTTGGGGACAACGGCGGCCATTTTGAAAGTGTCTATTGTCTTATTTTCGCCTATGAATCATGTGCATCGGTGGCATATAATGGAGAGTTACAGCAAACCGGAGATCCGGTCCCGGTTTGGTACCCGGTAGCCGACCGGCGCCACTGCGCGTGCGCAGAGGTGGAGACTAAAATCGGCTGGCTGCCAGTGCACCGACCAGGGCCGTACACAGAAAAAAATTTCGGGGGGGGTCAGAACCCCCTATCCCCCCCCCCTGGTTACGGCCCTGCACCGGACGCACATTACCTCGTTTTCTTTGCACTCTTTTCAGCCTCCTCTTTAATCCCCAAACTTCTCATTTCTCTCCCTCGGATTCCATAAAGTGGCTCTTCCTTGTTTTTCTCCAGTCAACACCGCCACCTGCAACCCCCCGCCACTTCATTTGCGGGCAGCGAACGAAACGACGTTCCTAGCCGCATCGATGGCTGCACCAGACACCTTTGTATGTTTCTTTATCTTGTTTTGTATCCGTGATGGTGAGCCATAATCACAACTGAACTTTGCTTTGCAATGCTCTTTGTTATGTCCAGTTGGGTAAAGTACACTCAAGTTATTCTGGGGGATGAGGGATGCACTGCCTAGAATGTCACACATGCATGGCTTTCAAGCGCCGTGATAAGCTCTCGGGACAGCAACAGAAACAAAGGCTGCAGCCATGTTGATAAAGACTGCAACCTCAGTCCACTTAATCTCGAGCTTCTTCCGCTGGCCGGCATTTCTATTTTCCTCGTTCAAATGCCACGTGGCTGGAGGCTCCAGATGAGATGTCAGGTTGAGGCTATGCTTGTATGATGTTGACAAAAGAGGGGCGAGTTGCCAAATGTAGAGGTGGGCAGACCATACTTGTTTTGGGGTAATTTTTGGAGCAGAAAAATATGCATTTTGGAGCCACTTAGAAGCAGAAAAACCTGCCTTTTGAAGCAACTTAGGAGCAGAAAAATCAGCACTCTGGAGCACTAAGGATAAAAAAAATTTATTTTGGAGCACCTTAGGAGTGACTGTGTACCATGAGCTACAATTCAAGCAAACCAGGTTTGTACAAGTAGTCATGTGCAATTAGGGGATTTTGAGTTTGAAGCAAATTTGAAGCGAATAGTGGTTTTGACCAAATATTTTAAATGGAATATTGAATAGTTTCTCCAAGCTTTTCATTACTGTTGCACCATGCTTAAACGAAAATCCAGCTTAACATGTGAAGGTTGTTCCCAGGCTACAACTTACCCAATTATAAGCTAGTTTTAATTTATCTATATTTCTGAACTGTGGCCTTAGGAAGTCCAATGCCTTGGGAAGGCAAGTAAACAACAAATTTTACACAAAATGAAACCCACAGAGATGCCCAGCTATACATAATTGAGGGGATTTACAAATCTTGCTATATGAAAATAGTCTTCAATCTCAAATTAAAAAAAAAGGATCATGAATGATGAATGCCAGGTTATCAGGGCATCTCTGCCTAACGTTTTATACTCTTTCATAACAGCCACAGTTTAATTTTGAAAACTTTACTGCAATGTAGATATCAGCATTCACAAAGTTTCAGTTTATTTTTAAATACACCAGGCGTGCGCATACACCATCCTGCTCCTAAAGTGTGCTTTCCTCCCAAGCACGCAATTGCGATATTCAAGCATACACTTCCAAGTGTTGATCGTGGCAGGTTACCCCATTGAGTGTGCTTCTTACCGAGCATGGGTGCACTGCAGAGAAGCAATGTTCTGCTGCTCCGTATTGCACTTGTGCTCGGTAGGAAACACGCTCAACGGGGCTAACCCCTTGCAATCAACACTTCGAAATATATGAATATAGCAGTTTATCTCGAAGCAGTGGCATGGGGGTTCAGCACGCCCTCATCCCCTTGATATCGAGCTGACCCTATAATATACACATGCCTTGCAACCCGACCCCTGCCCCCACACTTAAGAGTCTTGGACATCTCTGGTTACGTACCTGGCTCAGAGCAACTATTTTTTTTTTTTTTTTTTTTTGCATAGCGCATTATTTTAGACTAGTATTCAAAATTTTGAATATCTGCACAACACTAAGTACAAGTGTTGGAAAGCTTTGAATAGAACTTTACTGTGAAATTTCTGAAATTGCACACAGTACCAACCTGAGTTTCTTTTGAAAGAACAACTAACTGGTCACATTTTGCTGTGTCACATAGATTCATACACTAGTTAGGAAAATAAAAGCATTTGCACAGATCCCTTGGAAATTGCCATTTTTCCCGTGGTCAGAAAAGAGTTAAAGGGATATTTCAACGAAATTCAATATCTATGCCTCGTGTTCAGAAATAGGCTGAATACGATCCACAATATCCATAAATTAAAGTCGCATGTTTGTATTCTGAACCTGATAGCCGTCCCAGCCACCAAAGCGGCCGAAGCCCGCCAGGGATCCGGCCACTGCATCTAATCCTAAAGATCTTCCAAAGCTGCTTTTGTATGAAATTTGAGTGACAGGTTAATCTCCTACAATCTTGTAGAGGGACAATAGCGATGTCTGGAACACAAAAGAGACTCTAGATGAGAGGGGAGTTCCTCCTTCCCCTCTTTTCTGGTGGTGGTGGGAGAGCTGGCGGGACAACGTCAGGTTGAAGGCATGTACAGTTCTAGGCGAGACAGTCATCGTCACTAAGTGTCAAGGTTCCTAGACAGGCATTACAGCGAGGCTTTAGTAACATCCACCAGGTGTCCTTTGCTAATCGTTTAATTCGTTTTAAAACTCTTTTTCCTGTCTTTTTCAAGAAGACATTAGTTTGTCCGATGTTATATTGCTCCCATGAACGTGTATAGACTAAGAAAAAATGCCGAAATTTCGTTGTAGTATCCCTTCAATGCTACATTGCATCATACATCATAGCACGTATGATGTATGATGCGACAGTACAATGGTTAGGATGAATGAATGTATAAATGAATCGACAGATACGACTAAACCAAGGAATCGGGCGGTAGCTTGCACCACATGGCAATAAAATAGCCAAGGTTGTCAACCGAGCTTTCACTTTCCACTAAATCTAGCGTTGCCATGATCTCTGGCGCAGCATGGCGCAATTTGGGTGAACTTCACGCTTTTGGCACCCCTAGGAGTAGGGAAGTGTGAATGTATCAAAACGGTGCAATTAGCACAGCTGCCCCACCCCTGCAAATGACTATGAAAGATAGACTATTTGATGCACATGAAGGGCTCCCAACTGCACTGGTCAAATTGTTTTTCTACTCATCTAATTCAAGAACATGAGGTCATCGGCACTCACTGTGAGGTTCGCTGGGAACTGGAGGAAAGCCATCCCGTGCCTTCAAAGAGGTGCTGAGTTTGGAGTTTTCTTCCTGCAGCCTCGCCACCAGGCTGCCCAGATCCTTCATCTCTTGCCTCCAAACATCCTCGTACTGCTCCATTTCCTGCGCAAAAAGATTGAAAACGAGATGGATTGTCGTCAACAGATATCTCTGAAAAAAACCTACGGCAGACTTATGCACAGCCCTACTGAAGTGCAGTTTCTGCTTCACAGACAGCAAACTGATACATGATCATGACAAACATAAGGAGGACTCCATTTGTAGTAGTACTGACTTACCAGCATACAATCTCGTATCTGCGGCACCAAAGCCAATGCGCCATTTTACAATCCATGGCCGACCAACACAAGTCAATACAAGCGGCCAGGCAACACCTGCAGATAGTTTGAATAGAGCTACTTCTAAAAGATGGTTTTGCTGAAATTAGAACTTACACAATGCGACTAAATATCTGAGCATCCTTTGGCAATCTTGTGCCAGGAAATTCCTTTCCAGCAAGGAAAGGCACTCAATGTCTAATTCAGTCAATGAAACCTAGCCTGGATTTGAGCTAAAGTAACAGAAGCAAGCTAAATGCTAAGAGATAGGGTGAATAAAACTGAAATCCAACAGAAATCTGCCTCACCTGCCCCATAGAGATGTTTAGGCATGTATGCTGTTAGGCTTGTTTGTTCATAGCACAACTGAGGCAGGCGTTCAGCCTGGGGGGGGGGGGGAGTCTGCCAATATATGACGTCACGGTTGAAACACTGCCCAGGTCTATTTTTTTTACCCAATATTTGCTATGTCACCAAAAACTAAACTTTTGGCTAGTGTATATCAATGATGTTTTTTTTTTTTTTTAAGTTGACCTTGGGGAGCTTAGGGGGGGTGGTGCCCCCCCCCCTCTAAATCCATCCCTGAACTGAGGTAGCTTGCACGCCTCCCCCCTATTAGTATATCTTTATATTCACCCAAACCATTACATACTTCGCTGATTAAAACCTCAAACATACGGAAACCTGCAAGCCCTGCCCAAAGGCATACGGATGCCGATGCTTCTGGGCAATGCTCAACCTAACATGTGACTGCAGAGGAATGTTGCCAGCATGCTACTAACATGTGGCACCAAGGTTGGCGTCTCAAAATTTTTGAGGAACTGCTTCCAACCCTTTCAAGTTCAACAGGAAACTCACACAACCTTGACTGCCCTCTCAGCACTTGCAAGTTGCGTTATGTGCTGTATTAACTGTTCTGTACAAAGTATGCAAGGCCAGTGTACTTTACAGAGCTGGAGCCTTGCACTGCTAATGAAAAGGGGGTGGTGGCTCACCTTTCCCTTTCCACTCAGCAATGTTGACCGTGCTGGCACGAGTCAAGAAGGGATGAAAAAGGGGAGACGTCCTTTTGTCTTCTCTTTCAGTCTCTTCTGTTACCTACTTTTGCTTGGTACAGTGCAAAAGCTGCGCAGACTCGTAGCACGGAGAAGTTTATGCGGAGTAGAAATCACTTCACAACAATGTGATCCCACCAGTGTTCACTGACCAGAGTGCTGCCAAGTCTGCCTGCACCACCCCCCCCCCCCCCCCCCCCCCCCCCCCCCATGAGGTCGCTGTTATGTTTGGCATGGCCAAAACAACAATTTGCACACCACATTGTCATTAGCCTGAATGTGCCACTGAATGGCAGAAGAATGCCACCCTCCCAATTGACTTTGTAGCTGGTCTCTCTCCCGCTGCAATACTAAATCGGGTCAAATAGGTGCACTGTGCTACATTTTTTTCCATCACTACTTCGAGTAACGTAGTAAGGCAAGCCAAATATTGAAATTTTCTCAAATACATAGGAGAAGAACACGCATTGAAAAGTTACCCTGTCCTACTGTAGTATGGCTAAATACCGGAGACTGATAGGTTTCTGCTCAGAGAAACTGCATCACTTGAAAGTGCTACCTGCTATTGATGCCGATAAAGCTACACTTAAGCAATAGACTTTTGTGTAAATCACTGCATGGTCGTTACCCTGAAGTTTTTTGTGAATTTGAATGTCATTCTCAGATTATTTTAACAATACAACTGTATGGTTGTTATTTTAACCCTGGAGAGTGGGGACAAGGAGGACAGCACGACACAGAGATCAGTGTCATGCCGTTCTCCTTGTCCCCTCTCTCCAGGGTTAAAATAATCTGCATACTCAACCAGATCACCTGCACACCTGCTTTAACATTGTATGGATGCATTTTCATATGAGTTCCAAGAATGATTTATCCTAGTGTGGCATATATGCTTTGTTCTTGAAATGAGCATGTACAGCAGCAGAAAATGCCTTGTTTGTTTTGTGAACTCCTGCCTTGATACTTACCAAAGCTGGCAGCATTACAGGGTAGTAATTAAAAAGATATTAAAAGGTGAACCTTGACACGAGTGACATGTGGGGGTTGGGTTCAGCATCTCCAGATTATGAGGCCACTGCTGATACCCTTTAGATGAATAATAAAAAAACAAAGTTATTTCCAGATATAATTTTGTTATCGTCTTGTCATCATCTCCACCTATGTCAACAAATATGACACTCTTTAAGCATTTCCGAAAACCCCCACTCCTGCCTTTCTCGAGTTATTTGAAGTTCATTGACCGTCCTGCACATATATTCTGTTGTTCTCCATCAGACATTACTTTAACCCTTTCAGTGGCCCCCATAATAATCCTAGGCACCACTCTATTTACCAGGCTACAAAAGGTGTCACCAAATGCACATAGGTAGTTCTGTAACCAAGTTACATTGTGTTTGTATGTATGCAGCAACAGCACATGAAGAAGCGGTGCAACCAAAGTGTACACCGACGTTCAGCCTCAATAATCTTTGCTATAGCGACAACAACCGAAATGCTGCACTGCAACGTGCTGCCATCATCAGACCTGTGGTCACACGAAATCTAATTTCAGCCGCATGCAGCCACACATTTTGAGTCATGCCAATGCCATTGTCTCCAGGGACAAGAACTGAAAGTAGTGTCATTATCCCCTCATTCTTTTCACAGAAACCCCTGGTTTTCTTTGGCAATCTCATTTGCACAGGAAAAGCCTTCAGAACAGACTTGAAAGACTTTTTTTTTTCTCTTTATACTTTTGTAGCACCTTTTAACCTTGCCCCCAAGTAAAGGCTTCCCGCAAAAATGCCGAAAAAAAAAATTAAAAGAAAAAGAAAACGTGTTAGCTTTGGGATAAGACGAATCAGAGCCCATTGTTCTCGAATCTTGGGTATGTGGCGATACCGCGCGCCACTTTATACAGCGTCTCGCACATGAGGAAACGCTGTCAAATCTTTGGCTCGCTCGGTAGGTCGGTCGGTCTGTCGGTCCGTACGGCGCAGGAAAAAGCTCAAGAGCGTCCATTCAATCAGAGCCGATAATAGGAGAGCCCCCATTTTCTTGAGGGGCGACTACGTCTCGAGATGCCGCGCGTTCTTTCGGCGGGCGCCTCTCTAGGCGACCCTAATACACTTTATTTTTTATCCCCTCTCGGCTCCCAACTAACGCACACGCAGAACAAAAAAAAATATCTGCTAACCCACATACTGGTTTTCGATTTGAGACGCGCTCGTGCACACACACACACACAGCTGGATACATCGTAGATAACCCTTCCGCCTAACGATCCGGCAATTGAGGACGCAGTGGCAGCGAGGTCTTTAAAACGTCTGCTCACGTTCGGTGGCGATTAACACGACTGATTGAAAGTGCGTAGCGCTTTCCCCTTGCCTTTGTTTGTTTGTTTTTTCGCTGTCGTGGTGGTGGTGGTGTTGACGTCACATCGGCCGAAAAGACGAAAATAAGAAACGACATTCAGCTGCTTCGTTCGTGAGGCAGGAAAACGGCCGGTGAAAAAGAACCCCCGCCTCTTTTCGTCGCGGACGTAATGAACGCACGACAAGTCAGGATGAGTCATACAGCAAGGACGCGAAAACAGATCGAAGAACACACGGACAAGACTTGTTGACTGCCCAACTGCCCAACATGCCTAACAGCCTCGCGAGAAAGTTTTGCGTTTTGCTACAGAAACCAGTGTCTTTGCAGAAAGAGGAAAACGAGCCGCTTTCGACCAATTTACGGATTATCGGAAACTCCCCTAAACCGATCACGGCAAAGCAGTAATGCTCGCTTATTCCATGAAATAGGAATGTGACGTAATTCTGCCCTGCCCGCATCGAAAAGAAAAAAAGAAAGAAAAAGGTCGATACGCGTAAATGTTAATAAACAAGCTCGCAAAGCAATTGGAGGAAACAAAAACATATATGCCATCACAGTGCCTGAGGCACGACAAAAAATGTTTCGAAACAATCATGGAAGTGGGGACCCCTTACCTTCTCCAGTTTGTTCCTGGACTGTGCTTTTTCGGACTTGTCATGTTCCAGCTGGTAGATCTGGGCTTTGAGACGGACGATCTCTTCGCGGGCGGTGTCGTTTTTGAAGGCGTAGGCTTCGAGGTATTCCAAGACGCAGATAACTTTGGTCATGAGTTTCTTGACGGCCTCCACACCGTGGTTGTCAATGACGATCTCAAACTCCTTGCCAATCTCCTCGGCCAGGGTGTACACGTCGTCCACACTCAGGGCTTCCGATGGGCTCTCCATTGCGTCGATATAATTTTGACAGAGATAAACGACAAGTTGCGCACAATTTGCTGTACTACGAACGGACCGCTAGCGCGAAGCAAACTTCGTCGTCGGCCATAGCTGCAAACTGATGAGCGAGAACGAGAGGAGGAATGCACGAGGAAACATAGGAAACGCAAACAAAGAAGACCAAAGAAGAAGTATAAAAAAGAAATGAAAATGACGCGCTTAAAAGCAATTATTTTATTTAAATAAATCTTAAATAAACGCTATAAATAAAGGCTGTTTTATTTGATAACTGAATCTCAAGTACAAGGTGTTACTCTGACTAACGCTAAAAGCTCCAACTGTTATGCGAAACAAACCAAATTTATGACGTCATTAAATTATTTTTGGTCACACAGAGTGAAAATTTAAGTTTTTCGCTTTAAAAGACCTGTATAAACGAGCGCTCTTCAGAAACTAGTGTCTCGAGGTAAAGACAGATGGCGAGACGATCACGCCAAGTTCTGACCAAGTTCTCTCCACAGTTCGCGATGAGAGATTGCACCCAAGGAGTGTAAAAGAAGGGAGTACAAACTACACTCTACAGGACACAGTAAAGAGTAGTGTCCCGATTGACCCCCCCTTCCCCCCCCCCCCTCAAATAATAATATTAATAATAATAATAATTACAGGGTTTTTATTACCGGAAAAATAAACTACGCATCGACGAACGGTCCTTCTCTGCCCAAAGGAAGCTAGTGGTGTCAACCCGGATGCCAAAGCTTCAGCACTAACCGTTTTTTTATGAAAAAGTTTTAAGTGATTTAACGAATAAAAAGTTAGGGCGTAAACGAGCCTCTATATTGACAGGAGGTTATGGTTTAACATCATTTTAGACAGACCCCCAAAAAGCAGGACACATACACTGTGTCCTTCTGCTTGTCCCTCGTCGTTTGCGCTGTTTTAACATTTTAAACCAACTAGCCCCACGCATCAACCTTAGCTGGGGAAAAGACGAAGGACAACACAACACACTGAGTCTCTCTGTGTGTGTTGTCCTTCATTTTTATCCCGTCTCAAAGGTTTGTCTAAAAAAAATGTACCTATGTGATTTTTTTTTTTTTTTTTTCAATGGGATATTGGTGTTAATTCGGCTCCATTTTCCCATTGAATTTTTAAAAAAAAAATCCCATAACTTTTTTTATAAGATTTCGGCGTACAATTAGTCTTGGGCCATGCGTAGTTTATTCTTGCGGTTTAAAAAAAAATGCATTTACTCCCAATGATGTGAATTGGAAGTGTAGAGTCGGCAGAGTTTTGGGGACCTCGGGACCGCGGTGCACTATACTCCGCGACACTCAAAATGGGAGAGGGGACGCGGGACGTACGTTCCACTGCATTGCCAAGAAAAGTTGTCGCGGAGTATAGTTCCCACTAGAGTTCCTGCATATAGATATTTACCTGGTAGCGCCGGCTTTCCTGCACAGCCCTGGCTGCTTTGCTCGTCATGTGACTGAATTCGAAGAATAGCGGCGGCGCGCGCGCCGCCGCGCGTGGAAAACAGAAAAGGGGAAAGAGGCGAAAGCAGGAGAACATGCGCCGGGGCGCGTGCAACGTCGGCGGAGCCAACGTTGGGCGGAGCGACCGTAGCGGTGGCTTTCCTGAACGGCGCTGGATGCTTTGCTTTTCAAGTGGTCGATCTCGGCGAATAACGGCTTGGCTGCTCGGGGAAATCAAACGCCTAACTCTGCTCCCCCTTCGGGAGGCGCATACCGAGGGCTGTTGTGGCACTTTTTTTTTTTTAATTAATGCACCTAAGAGCACAGCTGTATCCCGCCTAAGCGCGCGCGGGAAAACCTCTGCGAGCCTGATATTTGAAAAATAATTCAAAAGGAAAAATAAATTTTAAAAAAAGTTACAGTTGGAATTTTAGGGAATGTGTTAGCCAAGTTGGTGGTACACGTAGCAGAGCGCGTTGGATGGTGTACTGTGTACAGTTCACACGGAAAGAATAAAACGTCGAAAATATACGAGGCCAGACACACAGTTCTTTCAACGAGCAACTACATTTAAATGATGCCCAATACACTATGATAAACCACTTTGGTCACAGAGAAAATTAAGTGAAGAATAAAATACAAACTCCTCAACGTTGCTAAAATACTAGAAGATACTAGAAAAAGATAAAAGTAAAGATAGCTGAATTTAACTTCCTGAAAAGGAAGAAGAAGAATATGGAGATGTTTTCTATGACAACTCCGGCGCTAGGAAATCCATCTCTGATGTCGATAACGACATCAAGGGCTCGAAAACATTGTCTGTGGCAGTTTTGATCTTAAATGCTTCGATTATTTCTCGGCCATACTTGTCCTTGGGTGAGCCTAGCACGGAAGGGTTTTCATGGCTGGGAGAGAAATCTTGGCAGGTGCGGGCATGGACAACGATCGGATGGTAGGAGTCGGATGACGCCTTGTTGACTTCGAGAAAGTGTTCCCTAAGGTGAACGTTGAGGCATCGTCCCGTCTGGCCAATGTATTGGCTGTCACAACTGAGCGGAATAGAATAAATTGGCTTCTCTTGGCATTTGATGTATTTGTTGAAGTGTTTGATGGTGCATTTTGGTGGACGACTTTCATTATTTACCCTTTGGCACATTTGTTTTAGCTTCATCCGACACGTGAATACAACCTTCGTGTCGAAGCGGGCAGCCAGACTCTTCAGGCGATGGGCAGTATTATGCACATATGGAATACAAGCTGGGCGTGTGTGGCTGTGTCCTTTGTTGTTAGATGATCGACGGTTCTAATGGACGGAAAGTCGTCCACCAGAATGCACCATCAAATACCTCAACCGCAGAGGCTTAGGGTGGCGCCAGTGGCGCTGCCAGTCACAGCGGGGCCAGGTGGCAGGTCAGGGCGCGGCTGGCCTGTGGTGTGTTGTTGTGACTATTTCTTGTTTTGTGTTGTGTGTGGATCGATACGATATTGTGTGGCTGCTAGCTGTGCCGAAGGGACAAGGGACTCAGAACGATGTAAAATACGGCGAAGAAAAAGATGGAGCGGTGCTGTTTTGTACCGGTGTGCGACGTGAGTTACAACACATGCAAAGAGAAACGCTCCTTTTTTCGGACGCCGACCAACGCCTCGCTCTTCGCGGAATGGGATCGTCTTATTCCAAGGGGGAAAACCATTGATGGAGAGAAAACAACAAAAAAAAAAGTATAAGGAAAATTTCAGTAGAGTAGATTGTTGGGCTAGTTGGTGTTGGAACTTGGAATACATTTTAGCGCTCAAAAAGACAAGGACACAAAGACGAGAGCGCACTGTGGTGTCTGATTCTCGTCTTTGTGTCCTTGTCTTTTGAGCGCTAAAATGTATTATAAGGAAAATATGTGACGACCTGGTGTGACATGACCCAGAAATCAAACTTCTCCAAGTGGGATCTCTTTAATAAAGATAGCAGTTAAAGTTGCTCCATTTATCTTGCCAGTCTTTGTATTTATTAGGCGAAAACCTTCTATGTCTCATCGTTCAGTCGACCTTCAAAGTCTTTTATTTATTTATTTATTTCAAAATACTGCCAATCCCGGAAGGGATTATTGCAGGCATTGGTACATAATAAAGATACATGTGAGGCATTTAACAACGAATGAACAACACTTCTCGTCATTCAAAACATCCTATAATTACGAAAAAAGTTCATCTTCGACTGCATTGATAAATGATTCAACAGTGCCGTGACTGAACACGTGTGGATCAAGGCTATTCCAGATTGTAATGGCAGAGGGAAAAAATGAGTGTTTAAAAGTGTTATTATGAAACGAATAGTCAACAAGTGTATGGCTGTGCTTGTGTCTAGTCGGTCTTGTGTTAGACAATTGAACGTACTTGGATGAGTCAATCTTAAAGGCGCCTTGTAAAAGAAGGTAGAGAAATTTCAGACGATTTAATGTTGCGCGGTCAGTAATGGTCTGTAAACCTGCTCTTTTCAGAAGCTCTGTGGGGGAGTCAAAACGACCATACTTGTGATAAACAAGCCTAATTGCCTTTCTCTGAAGGCTTTCAAGTGTGTTTATGTTTATATTCGTGTGAGGGAACCAAGCAATATTTGCGTATTCAAGCACTGGACGTATAAGGGTTTTATATATGCTTGGAGTTTTGTTTCACAAGACGAACATTTTAAGGTTCTCTTCAGAAAGAATAATTTCGTGAGAGCTTTATTAAATACATATTTAACGTGTGCGTTCCAGTTAAGATCAGATGTCATCAAGACTCCTAGGTATTTATACTCGGTGACTCTATGCAAAGGTTCATCTTGAAGGCTATATTGAAACTAAGAGACATTCTTTTTCTTTCTCGCCACTCATGGAGACTGTTTTTTCTTTGTTAATCACCATTTGCCAGTCATCGCACCAATCGGAAATCTTTTTAAGAGATTTGTTTAGTAGGATGTGATCGTCTTGGTTCTTAATTTCTTGATATATGATACAATCGTCAGCGAATAATCTTATGTTAACATCAATGCCATCGGCTACGTCATTTATGAAAAGAAGAAATAAAAATGGAGCTAAAACGGAACCTTGTGGGACGCCGGATACTACAACAACTGGTCGCGTACTTTGTTCCTCGCAATAAACAAATTGGAAGCGATTTTTTAAGTAGTCTTCAATCCATGCAGTTATCGGTCCTTCGCCCATAACATGTTTAAGTTTTATTATCAGTTGAGCGAAAACACGTCGACGACACGAAAAGGCGTCGTCGACACGAAGGGTACCAATGAAACGGCGTTAAAAAGTGCGTCGTCAGAGAACGCGCTGTCTTCGGAGGTTCGCTATCCCCGCGATCACAGCTGACGCCACGATCCGAGTGAGTCAATGAAACGGCGCCAGAAGTGCGTCGTCAAAGAGCGCGCTGTCTTCGGAGGTTCGCTATCACGTTTACATCGGCGCTTGGTCTTTCGCCTTCCAGTCGTCTTAGTGATAACATAAGAGATCCTGTGTATTTTTTTCATATCATGCATGCTCACTAAATGAAATCTATTCAGATATTTCTTGGTCTATATCTTTGGCTGAGAATCCAGAAGTTTAGAAAAACTCGCTTTTATTATTCCATGCTACAGATAAGAATATGCATTAACACCAGAACAAAAACTAGGTTGGTAAAGGTCTGGAAAATGTACAATTTTCTTTGGCACTAAAGAGTAGAGGAAAGCATCGTATGTAAAACCATACTCAAACTTCGCTTTCTTAATGCCGGTATGTAAGGTGAGATAGAAATTTATTCTTTTATAACAGAATAATCAAAGAGAAAAATTAAAGAAGCGAGACTATGGAAGAAACTGACCGCGCGCAAACGCCATTCACGCTTTAAATGTGAGCTTCTGCCGCTCGCGCAAGTCGTTTTTTTTTTTTTTTTGTGTGTGTGTGTTTTACAGGGGTGTGATATAGGATGGAACTTCTTATTTCTCACCACCGAGGGCAGAACAAACGAAAAATATGACCATATTCACGCCGAACAAAGCATATCTGTTCTGCTGCGACCCCGTCGAATGGCAGCGCTCTCTGCCCCACAGCGCCCTCACCGGCATGCCCGGACATTGCGACACACTCACGGCCGCCGGAAGGCACACCTCCCCACTCTAGTATACCCTACCCACGCACCGCTACTACAAGAACCCTGAGCGAGGAACATCCGGCGACGGTAGAGCGGCAACTGAGCATGCCCGCATTCCACCGCGCCGCGGTGCCTCCTCTCTGGCTCCGTGCCAGCTGTGCGACGCTCCTTTGACAAAAACGAAAACGCGGCGGTGTCTGTCAGTCTGTCAGCGCCGGGGAGAGAGGGAGAGATTAACGCGTGCAGACGTCAGCGCTTCGGACCAAGGGGGCGTCGCACGCGTCATCCTTTCCGCCTGCTTCTACCTTTCTCCCCGGCGCTGACAAACTGAGAGACACCGCAAGGTTTTCGTCAAGACGAGGGTTCTAATGCTAACGCATTAAAAATGTTCAGAGACTTTTGCATAGACTAACCTCAGAGCTTACAAGCGCAAGCTCTTTGCGTTTGATAGCCTATCCGGGCCTGGCCAACCCCTCGCATTTACGAGAGTTTGTCATTTTCAGTTTATTCAATGAACTAGCTGGGCAACTTATATAGTGTAAATTACAACTACCTGCAATCGCAAAAAAAAAAAAAAGTGAATTATAAAGTTGCGCGGTATTTTTATTGTGTCTATTATGAACCGACAAAGTTCGTCGGTTCTTCGCCGTATATTTGCTTCATGGAGTCCAGTCTTTTTTAGGCTTGGAGTTTTATTTTACCGGTGCCAGATTTGTTACCAGAGCATCCATATTTTACACAAGAGGCCTTGAAGTTACGGGGCCTCCGCATACGCGTCAGCAGTTCCTTGTCAACGTACGCGCCTACTGTCTGGAGCGTAGGTCTGCCCTTGTAGATGCTTATCACATATGATATTTTGTAGATGCGCCTTCAGCACGCTGCAGTCACTATTTGTGTTCTCAATATCTTTAAGAGGGTGTTCCTTGACGTAGCTTGTCACGGAGCAATTCGTTCCAGCAAGCACCGTCGGTGGTTGAGGCAAAAAGGCAACGAAAGCGAGTGCGTGTTTTTTGTTTCCTTCAAGTTTGTACTGACTTTGTTTGCTCCTATTACTCTTTTGTCAAATCAAGTGTCCAAATGGCCCACCACCCTAATTATCTTTTTTTTTCACCTTTAATAAGAGAGGTGGGGGGAAATGAAAGCCGTTTACAACTCCCTGTAATGCCGAATCAGAGCGCAGTTCTTGAGGAGGAGGAGGGAAGGGCACTGAGGGGAGGGTACACCCCTCCTCCCTCTTCCTCACCTGCTCATCCTGCCTGCTTGGCCTGCTACCCCTCCCACCGAGCGGCGTCGCCGTCGGCGTAACCGTGAGGTCACGTGATTCTCGTGACGTCGCGTGACCCTCGTTACCTCATGGTGGTCACGTAACGTCACGGGGGCACGTGACGATGACGATGACGTCATAGTGATTACGTCACATGTGACGTCATGAGTGACGTCATCGTCATGACGTCATAAGTGACGTTATCATGATGACGTCATCAGTGACGTCACGCGTCCCATAATGCACCGCGCGGTTACGCCGACGGCGACGGCGATGCCTCTCAAGCTGGAAATGGGCACCGATGAGCTGCGCTCTAAAAATAAAGCCCAGTGACCCGATCAGGGACCAACCATATAATAATAATGTTACTCTATCAATCCAATCGTTTTCCTCGCAGGCCGTGACAGCCGTGTGGTGCCTCAGCTCATGTTTGACAGTTATGCCATCGCTGGTCTCAACCTATGCGAACTTTTTTTTTTTTTTTATGTCATAATATTTTACTGAGGCGTTCATGCAATCGTTTAATTTTTTCCTGTAGCTCAAGCTGCCAACTTTCCCCAGACTCACGCACCTTTTAAAACATGGCTATTATCTCTGCTGCCTGATGATTTTTCTCTTGCTTGCATTACAATGCGCGACATGCATGGTTAGCATGAACACGCGTTATTCCTGCATTTTGGCTTTCATCAAGAATGCTAGGGTTGTTGGAGAATGTTAGCTGTATTGACGTCGTGACATTGGAGAATGGTAAAATGGGAGAGGGGTACACACAACACACACTTTCAAAAGCCCACGATTTCAGGCTTATAATACAGGCGGACCTGGACAATGTCTCCACTGCATAGGATTTGTTAGTTGTTGGATCTCTTCTACTCTGTTTGCGATGAAAGGTTTCCGTTTTGACTTCGAGCCCTTGATCCAGTGCAACTAACGAATCCTATACACTGGAGACATTGTCCAGGTGCCGAAACCCGGGATATAACGAAAAAAACGATGGAAAGGCTCAAGAGAAGACGAGGAGTGATACGGTCCACTGTTACCAAGCTTGTCAACGACATTTCCTCGGCATTAGAGCTGACTCCGCTACCAGAAGGTGACATAGAAGAGAAGCTCAACTTCCTCACATTGAAAGAAACGTCGCTACACCAACTAGATGCGGAGATCGCAGACCTCATTGACCAGAACGAAATTGAAAAATGATGAAGACGTGATCGCAAAGAAATGCCTCAACGGACCTCAACGCCTTCCAAATGTAAATATTGTATATAAATCCTTTTGATTACTCCTCCTGTACCGATATTTTACAAAATCCTTGGTGCCGAAACCCGCAGGTTATAATCAGAGTTTAAAGTTTGTATAAAAAAATAGCGGAAAACACCTGTGGTAGTTTTTCCTGATATACGTTTTTAACGAAATACACTAAACTGTGCAATGACATTTTTTTTAATGATTGATTCTCGCGCATTAATTAGCGTGCAGTATTAATTAAATTTTGTATCAACTATGAGGCGATTTGACTCTGGTAGTAATTAGCGGCGAGATGTTTCGGTGGCGCCCTCCTACGGTTCCCCCTTGTGACGTCATTACCTTGCGAACAACAAGTTCGATGGTGTTTGTAAATAGCATGATGGAAGCCTGAAATCATTGCGCTCTCAAAGCAACGCTGCCAACACCGTCGAAATTAAAGTTCTTTCATTCCTCTTATTTCCGTCGATGGTATACCTTTTCCGACGTCATAGTCAGCTTTTGGGCCAATCGTGGAAGGCCGACCACAGCGACGCTTTCGGTCGCGCACGTCGCCAATAGCACGACCGCTCGCCGGTCTACAATGGCCGACGAAGTCGATTATTATTTTTGCACCAACCACTAAACAATATTGTTGAAAGAAAAAAGAAATTAGCTTTCTGATAAACTTGTACCAAATAAGCTGCGTAGTGGGCTCACAAGTAGACTGAACTAACTTTTTGCTTCGTATTCGTCTGCTTCTTGCACAGGGGTTGCGATGATGTCAGAACGCCTATCCTTCCAAACAGGATTTGCTATCCGCACAGCATCAACAGCATCATCGCGACACTTCAGTGACGACACATCTCCACGTCACACATCTCTGCCGGTGAGGGCCACACGACCTTTCCTTCTTTGGCTGTTGGCGCCAGTTGGGTTCGTCTATCGTCAAGCCGCGAAGCGCGTGTACGGGTGGGCCAAGTGTGTTAACATTTTTGTAATTACCCGCCGCAGACAGACCCGCCGCGAAGCGGTGTGAACGCAGGGGGGGTATTAACACGCGCACTTGTAAAAACCGACCAAACGTGAAAAAAAAAAAAAAAAAAGAAAAAAGTAACGCGACCTTTATTAACAGAAATTAAATGCGTGACGCAGAGGAGCGACGTCACTGAAGCATCACGTGACCCCCCGTTGATGCTGTGAAAATAGCAACTCCCCTTCCAGTCAAATCCAATCAAAACTCGGCGTCGTTCTGACGTTACTGCAACCGTTGCGCAAGAAACACCCGACTTGCTTAACATTGGGCGTGGAGAATTCTTTGGTACCAACTCATGAAAACAAATGGGCGTCATGGATACACACTCATTTAGTCAATGAACCAGATCATGCATGCAGGCACCCAATTAAGATAGAACAATTTATAGCCAGGCCAAGCAAACGATTGCATAATGGAGTACCCGGAGTTTCAAACCAACCATTAAAATATGTTCGCAGAGTTGACTAAACCCGTCACATCACAAGTTATTAGACCCCTACCTCCTTCCCTTTAAAACAGTACATTGTTTTATTCTGAAATAACTAACAATTACATTTCGAATTTTAGCGGTAGCTTGCGCTCATTCCCAAAAAACAAACGCGACAACATTTTTTTTTTTTTTTAACATGTATGTTTGTCACACATGTTAGTATAGAACGCTAAACCCTTTCACCTAAGCCCTTGCGCTGCACCTTATTGAGCTGGCAGTTTTGATAAGAGAATTTCAACTGTGAAAGGCGAACTCATAAAACTGGCGCTACAGCGAAGTTTCTGTTTTGAGAAGCAGACGACGCGACACCGCGTTCCGAGAAGTTCTCTTTTTCACTACGAGATGACGCCACCAACGCGCTTGGCGTGGGCATCATCATCATCATTTGCGCAGTGCAGTGTGCGCGTGGACTCGCGACCCCCACCCTTCCTCCCCCCTCCTTTCTTCCTCCCCCCGCCCCCTCCAACGCAAGGCAGCATAGGAAGAGTTCGGTCGAAGGCAGCAGCAGGGTGCCCCCCTCGCCCTCGACTCTTGCCAGTCAGCGCAGCCAGCGGTTGCAGCGGTCGTCGTCGGTGCTGAGTTGGTCGGCGTGCGCGAGCTCGACTCGACTGCGCTGGCGGTGTGTGGGGTGCTGCCGACTCGTCGTCCAATGTCCGCCAACTGATACTGGAGGTGTTCTGCGCCATTCGGCTGTCGAGCTGCCCGGGGCGGCGAGCAACGGCGCTGTTCCCGCACAATGGAGACGATGGAGTAGCGTACCGGCGGCACCAGCAGCGCGTCTCGTCCGGCTATCGGCCTTTGTCTGGCAGCGGCGACGCGATGGCGGTCGTCGGCGCTCGTTCGGGCCGCCCCGTGATCGCGTTCACGGGAGCGACGGCCGCTGCCGCGGCGGCCCCTCAGCAGGCGATCCTGACCGCGGCACAGCCCTTCTACCACCCGCCCGTCACGGTGCAGGATATTCAGCCGGACAGACCCATTGGATACGGAGCCTTCGGCGTCGTCTGGTGAGTGCCCGCCGACGCTCCTCCGAGGGCCCCCACTCTTTGTGTTCGGGGCGTCGATCTCGCGCTCCTCGCCGACCCTCTTTGTCCGCACTCAGACGACGACGGACGCGGGGTCGCACTTCGAGGTCCGAACCAGCGGGCTAGAAGACCCCAGGTTCGTCCCGATGCAGCGGCGACTCTACGTCCGAACCCGAGTTGTCGAAAGAAGCCAGCGCGGCTTCTTTGTTCTTCGTCTCGACTGCATCCTGCGTCTGATCTTTTTGGAGTGGTGCTCCCGTACCGCGCGGTCGCGATATTTTTTTTTTTTTTTATTTGATTTGCTAAGTGCAGGACGAGTTACTATTCCTTTACTCTTCTTTTCGTGGAGTTTGTCCACTTTCTTACAAAGCATTGTTAGCAGACTGCGTTCGAAGGATCGTCTGCTTCGTAACCACGCGAGCGTTTTGTAACGTTCTCTGCTTCTTTGTCATTATTTCTTTTTGTCAGGACATTGTATTTTAAAAGCAACCGTGTTGACTTCGAACCCCAAAATGTCGTTAACCCCGTCATTGTCTTCTCCAGGCGATGATTGTTTCATTGTCGTAAACACGCGCAGTTTCTAATGTTTTCGCGGCGGTCGTGCCAACCGCATGAAAGAAACGCTTGCTTGGGGTCGTCGTTTGCATTTACTTCATTGGCGATTATTTTTATCGGGCATGGAAGGGGGAACGGTGTGACGAACTTTGTCGCCAAGTGCATCGCTCGAAAACGGTCAGCGAACTCCGGAGGGATTTCCGGGGAGACGTAGAAATTTGTCTGCTGGCAGCAAAACGGCGTCATTGTCCGCCGCGTGACGCGTTCGCTTGCTCCCTTGCCAATGGGAAGGTCGATGACCAGGGCCCTCTTTTGCGGTTGCCTTCTTTTGTTTTAATTTCGGGGTGATCTACTTTTTCGATAACATTGTCGCGGGACGTGGTGCGGTTTATCCTGACTCCGCTGGGTCCTTTCCTGCGTCGCCGTCGTGGTGGTGGTGGTGTGTTTCACCTCAATTTCTGCGAATCCCCAGTGCGTGGAAGTGTCTTTTACGTGGTCGGTCGTTGCGTGATCTTCGAAGACGGCGCGTTGGGTGTCGTCGCCTGATATTGAGATGATTCGAGTTTTGTTCTTGCGCGAACGTTTCTTTTTGGGGTGCAGGTGGGAATTCTATCACTCAATGTTTTTTTTATTAGAGTCAATACATATTACAAGTTACTGACAGACCATTTGGCTTGTTTGTGCCCATTTTAATACAAGTTTTACGATGGCAGGCAGCGATATTGAAAATATGTTAAAAAAATACAATGTCAGGTTAAGCAAATAATTACCTACGTAAAAAAATGAAAAAAAAAAAGCACGCCTGAAATAAATTGAAGCGATCGTATTATAACATCGACGAAAAATAATTATGTCTAATAAGCAAACGAGTTTCGAGATGATACGATGCATGCCCTATCTAGAAAAAATATTGTCATGTACATTTGTGACGAAAGATGATAAAGTTTTCGAAATTTTGCTTAACGCGGACGCTGCATTTTTATTTCCCAAAGTCAATATGCAACACGTTTTATTTAACAACAAAGAAAAAAAAAAAACTGTTTAGAGTATATTTTTATTTTTTGTGGTTACTGTGGTGCTATAAAAATTGCTCGTTAATTGAAACACCACACAACTCGTATAGGAGGGAATAGCATACACAAAGCGGAACTGCTGTCTCATATCAACAAAGCAAAAAAAAAAAAAAACTCAAATAAAGGAAATCATCAACAACTGCGTCCACACTGCGCAGTAAAAAAAAAAAAAAAAATATGTACAGGTTTTTATAAACACATTAAACGTCCTTTAAAGCTGTACTATGTGACAATGTGCTCCTGTAAAACTAGAACACTACTGCCTAAGTAGAAACTTCACTTTTGCTCCCCTATTGATGAGTTTTGAGTCGTCCACACCCTGCGATTGCTGCGTAACTATTATGTTGGCCAGAGGTGTTAAACATTTATTTTCTCTATTATGGAGCATCTGTGTATATTGCAGAGAACTCCATCCAGTTACGTTCACGAGCAAGATTGGACCAGGCGCGACAAAAAATTCCTTGTGGTCTCTACTGCCAAAGTCCCGAGAGAAACTTTCAACACGTATTCTCAAATAATTTTTTCACGCGCACAAGAAAAAAGTAAATAAGCTTTTATTTACTTTTATCAGTCGCTTCTCCGGTCGTGCCCTGGGCGTTTTAGTCAGCTACACGTTTCGTTTCACATCTTCATATTCCGGCCACCAGGTGATGTGGATTTTTATGCAATCATCAGTAACCGGACACACTTCCTTATCATTGCTCCATCCCCTGGTCAGCCGTTGCCCCTTTGTGTCAAAGCAGAACGGCGTAAGATTAGGTAGAGCCGTTTCTTTCTAACCGCATCAAAACGTCGTCCACCCAGCAACCAGCGCCTAAAGTTTTTTTTTTTTTTTTTTTTTTTATTGGCGTCGTTGACGCGCTAGTGTTAATTGGCTCGGGACGAAGGATTCCGGAATCCACCCGACATCGGACGTAAGCTGGAGGAAAAAACAAGCGCTAGCATTCCGTCATCCTGTTGTGTGATGTGTTTTCTTCTATGGGCAAACACACTACATTTGGCGCGCACTACGTTTGGCGCCTAAAGTGGGGTGCCAAATCTGCAAGAGGAAATAACAACGGACTAACGTTGTTAGAAACACCTTCTGTTTCTTTTTTTTTTCTTTTTTTGGAAGCGCGGAAATTTGTACAAATGGGATAATAGATTACCTTTTAGAAATTTTGCAGTGTGAATGGGTATAATCTGGAATACACCTCCACCGATGATTTCAACCAGAGTGGAAAAACAAGTCATGATGCATTTTTTTTAATTAAATCAAAATTATTTCATTTATATCAGATCATTTTGATTTAAATCTCTGGAGTTCGAGATTAGTGGCACTTTATCACTGAATGTATTTTTGAACGTGGCAGATTGATTGATCAATCTGTCCGGTCGCTTATAACCATGCAGAAGAAAGAAATACTGTACATTTAAAGTAGTTTAATTAACACGTTTTTGTTGATGTAGCCCCTCCCAGTGTTTACACGTTCCTCAAAAAAAAAAAAAAAAAGGAACAATAGATTGTTTCTCTGTTTTTTGGAACGCGTTCCCGTTACAAGTTCCATCTGTGAAGAAGGAACTTGTTCTCGTTACACATAAAAAAATCGAACTTATCGTTGCATATACGTTACATTTGTATTTTACTGATTACCATATTTAGTTAGATCGAGGATATATCCCATGAAATGGGGACGTGCGAATTTGAATGCCGCGATGGAAGAGCACCGGGAGAAGAAAACACGCGAAAGCAGGGTTTCGTTTCTTGATATATTCATCTTTAAATATCTCAGCTATTAACCATATTCATGTTTGTGGTAGGCGTTTCAGGCGAGCCAAATGTACTGTTACCCCACAACCTCACACGTTTCAATTTAACAAAGTCCTTTGTTTGAACTTAACAACAGTTGCTTCTCGATGTTGCTGTCCGCAAGACGAGCAGGTGAAGAAGAGGGTAGGATTTTTGGAAGGTCAGTCTTGAAGACTACAAGTCCTTCTTCGTGAAGGCTGGATTTGTTGTTCATTTTGGGGGACAAGGGGAGAAGGTGTGACCAATGTTCGGTATGCGCGGGTGGGTTCTCTTGTTGTATCTGTAGGTCTCTTTGTGGAAGCTCAGTGATGGCTGTAGTCGGCCTTGGATTTCTGAGTGTATGAGGATTCGTGGAAGCGAAGAAAGTAGCCGAGTTTGAAACGTCCCTCTTTCAGTGTTTTTTTCCTTCGACTAAAAGTTTTGCTTTTTCAACCGCAGTCTCCGGCACCCGACTGTTACCAAGCGAGGACCGCACAAAATAAACTCTAAAGTAACCAAAAAGTTCACGAGATCCTGCTCTCCGTAAAGATACTGTTTTTATACTTGTAGAATTTCCCTCTTAGAAATAAAATAAAAAAAAATACCCCACTAAACGAAAAAAAAAAAAAAAAAACCGCCATTCTTTTTTTTCTTTTTTTTTTGTTTCGGTAAAAAATGTAACGAGTTCCCTCCCGTCCGAGTTCCACCGATGCAGAATGGAATGGCGGTGTTCCTTCGTTCCTCCTAAAGGGAACGCGTTCCAGGAACGCCGTTCCGTACAACAGCTAAAAAGCCGTATTTGCTTTTTTTCGCGTTCTGTTTTTTTTTTTGCACTAACTAAGACATTGCTTCTCTAGCTTTTGTTCGTTTATTTCACGTTCTGATTCTCGGGCGTCAATCAGCGAAGAATACAAAACCTTCCCTCAGGACGTAAACGACTATTGGGGGTCTTCAAGCTCGTTGAAACTTCTTTATGGTATTCCTTGAAGTCATGTAAAAGAGAGAGCAGGGGTGGCCAAACTGCGGTTCCCTGGTAAGCGTGACCCCCCCTCCCTCTGTGTACCCAGGACGGGAAGAGTTCTAGAATTTAAACGGAAAAGCTCACAGTCTGGGTAGTCTCGTACTACGACGAAGGCCCTACGTACGTACAGATGGACTGCTTTTTGACACACGGATGTATCCAGTGACCCTGTTTTCTTTATTGTTCTAGAATGTCGAACTGTATACGCATAGATGATGATTGAAACCTGAGACTGTGGTTTGAAAAATGGAAACTCGTCGAGTAGAAAGAGAAAGGGACAACCAACATACGTTGTCTGTCCCTTGTACGTTGTCTGTCTCTTTCTCTTCCTACTCCACGAGTTTCCGTTATTCGAACCACAGTATCAGGTTTCAATCATCGTGTATTACTTACACCAGCTCGCCTGCACTTTAACCGCATAGCGGGCGTCAGGGTAAGTGGCTGGCTTGCGCACCATGCATTCATTATTTAGCGGTTGAAGAAACGTTCTTTTGCATGGTGTATTTTTGTTGTTGACAATTATACTTGTCCTCTTTGAAAACCCTCCATATCGTTTCACGTTGAA